GATCATTTTGAGACTTTATTTTGCGAGTATTTAAGTTCTGGTCGGGAAAATTGTAATTTTTATTATTCCTACGTTTTAACAGTTAATTTTGAGTTAAAGCCACTTTCCTTTTCCTTAATTTCAGCTTACAGCTTCCGGCCAGAAAGTTTTTTCAGAATCGCGGTTAAATGCAAATGAATGAAGTGCAAGTATTTAAAGTTGAAGTTCTACTGATTTCGTTAGAGAGCCAGAGATTCTGAGCGCGCGTTCGCCATTTTGGCTATACTTTCTCTAATGCTATTTTTACGCTCGACCGTATTTTAGGCCCTTGATAACTTCGCTGTTTAATTGGCGTTAAGAGGCCAACTCTTATAGAATCTTGATAGCTTCGGTTATCAAGTTCTTTAGGCTCTTTAGTTAAGTTTTATTCTTAGCATTCCTGAGTTCAACCCCAAGTGGAGGCTTTGCTCTAAACTCAAGAACTGTTAAATTTATATTCCAAGAAGTCAACTGTTAAATTTATATTGAATAATAAAGGGTAATTAACCTTAATAATAAAGGATAATTTTCCTTTCATTATGCAAAGCCGAAAAACGGGCATCATTTATCTTTCAAATACTTTATGTTATATTTTTTAATTATGGTTATTATTTTTTGGTAAAATATTCCTTTTCAGGACTTCTTATTAATTATTTGAGTTGCATGGTCTTAAAATGATTATTTACAGATTTTCCTTTCCTTCATTTGACTGTGTACTTTAAGCATATTTATTAACATAAATCTTCAAGAATTTGATTTTGCTTATTTAAATAACATTTCTTTCGAGAGAATATTTTTCTACCTAAACTACAGTGCATTTGAAAACTGCATAAGTTGAAAGTACAGAAAAGAACAGTTAACACGTTCTTTCAATGGGCCGTTCAGAAAAGATATATAAATGAGAAATATATATAACCGAAATTTTAAGTTAGAGTGATATGCATAAATTGCTCCCCGCCAGGGGTTCACAACAAGGTCGACATATGCCCCTAGGTGTAAATGAAATTTTAAAGGGCTTCAATGATGATCAAGGGAGTGATTTGGGATGAGTAGCTGAATAAGTACCGCCAACTGCTAGGTATAATCAAAATTTTATTCACGGCAAATAAATTATTAGCAAAATTGATAAGTAATTTTTCATTAATATAATTTAATTCTATAAATTCAAGTTTTAATGAAAACACCTCGTCAAGCTAGGTTTTCGAATTCAAGAAAAAAAAATTCCTAAAGAAATATCCTAAAATAAAAGCTGTTATAGGAACAATGTTATTGATTTTCCAGTCATCTTAGCCAGTGGAAACACGCTATAATCAAGTTACTATATCATTACGGAAAAAAAGAAGGAGGTTGAATATTTTTGAACGAGACGATTTAAGGAATAAGTTAACTAATTTTATGCCAAATATTAAAAAAAAAAAATAAAAAATAAAAAAACCTGCATCAGTACATCAGCCGTAGTCAATCCCATCAACTAGCGTCGAAGTTTTGTGCATTTAGAATATTTTGTATCTAAAAACCTAATTATACTGGTAAAATTAAAATAATAATAATACCAAAATAATAAAACAGAAAAGTAAGAAGCTATTCTGTTCACTTTCTTGGCCTAATAATTATCTTTTATTAATTCATATCAAATTATTTGTATTATGTGCACGTTATATGCTACATCTTATGATGAGTGGTCGAGGAGGAAAATAATTCTTTTTGTAGTGATCGATGAAAGAAAATTTTCGGGATCCTTTATTTACATAGATGTTTCATTATACCACTACTTTACACAATTTTATAATGTTATTTTTTCTTTCTTAAAATATTACTCTAATTTCCCAAAATGTTGAATGTTTCATATTTTACACCGGAAGAATCAAACACATAAAATAAAAGACTAAATTTTACGTAAATAAATAACTAAATAAAATAAATAAAAATTATAATAATTGAATAAGTTTAAATAAGTAGAAATAAATAAAACTTTTAACATTTCAATACATTGATTTTTTTCTTTTAATGGTTATTGGCCCAAGAAAACCATAATTGTTTTTGTGAGGCATTCTACGAATATATTCCCAATAATTTTCCCTTATTCATTCGCTACATGCAACAGTAAAATATTCACTTTAGGAACAGCTTGTTTTTTGTGGCATTTTGTGCAGACGTATCGATTTCCACTTCATCAGCATTTCATCAGACTAAATAGTGAAGCGATTTTGTCCATGATACTGAAATTTTTTAGAGGTTAGGCATTTTGGAGGCAAAAGATAGAATAAAGACCGGTTTTATCAACACTTATTTTTAGCTGATATCCATCTTCTTCGGATAAATTCTTGAATCTTCAGCAAATTCTGAGACATCATTAGATTTCCATTTATAATATGATATAATATTTTACGAAATAATTTAAATTTATACCCAATGAAAAACCCAGGCCTTTCGTAATGTTAAATTTTCGTGTCTTATTCGCTAATTTAGGCGAATTATCTATAAAATGTGAAGCACGGAACTAAGTGAAAACTTCAGCAAAGTATGGTTTGATCCCTCAGATATTTCACCTTGAAAACCAAATTTCTTTGGTTTCGGAAAACGTTGCTATTTCTTCTAATTACCTTCTTTCAGAAACTTTTGTTTTCAGTTTTAACACAAAAAGTTCTTGAGTTGTATCTTTTAGGAGACTAATTCTTTATTTTCTAGACATTTTAGCTGCAAATTGAGCTTAAAGTAAAACCGAGAAGACAATCAGTCGAGTTAAAATGGGCTTACAAAATCGTAGATGAGAACCCAAACTGAGGGGACTGACAAATTTTAGTAAATTACCAGCAGTTAGGCGCAATGCTTTCTATAACGAAATACATTTTGAGTTTTCCTTTAATTATTTCGTTATTTTCATTTTACCCTTACAAAAAATTTTAATTTTTCTTTTAGCTTTTGTTATAGAGTGTTCCCTGAAAGGCTACTATGAAATCTCACAAATGTGTCTAGCTCTCTTCCTGTTTGGAGCATTCCTCTTTCATTTAGTTACTGTTGTAAAATAATGTTGCATGCGTATGCGTTCGTAATAAATTGAATGCACAACTCCGATCAAAAGTGAATAAAATTTATTCTTATCACAACAAATAAAACAAAATTCTGAAATATTTTCTTTATATTTTCTTTCTTATAATTGTGAGACATTGAGATATTCGTATAATATCGCAATGTCTCACAGTAGTTGTATCTTAAACTACTGAAACGTTTTACAGAACACAATTCAAAATAGAGAAAGCTAATCCGATCTCACCTCGAATTAGCTACAGTCAACCAACTAGAACTAAGTAAACAACTACTAAACAACTGAATTTGAACTGTTTTCCAGCGGCTTTTATAAGCTTTTTAAACGCACTAGAGAACATTCTCGTATTTTCTCGATTTTTCTGGATAGAAAAAGTAGATATCATTTATTAAAATACCAGATATCTATTTATTAAAATGTTAAATGCCGTGCTCCTGTATTTTAATATTTCCGGTGTAGCTTTCTCTTCAGATAAGTCTCGTGCTGCATTGCACGGGAATATAAAAAACAATTTTAATTACAAACTCTACTAAAAATAGCTAAATACATAAACCGTAAGAATACGATAGCGTTGAGTGGTAGATGTGCTGCTATAATTTTAAATTTAAGTCAAACAAAGTTTGATTTAAATTTTAATAGCTATAATAGCTATAATTTAAAACTTTAGCTATAATTTAAAAGAATTTAAGTTATATCTTCCACTGCATTTAGTTATTTACATTACCAAGTTCTATTTTTAGTCAGACATTAGGAACTACTTTAATTTAGTTTCAGTTTGAAATTTTCAAATAAATTTCTCAAATATTTTTTATTTAAATATTGTAATTCGTAGAATTGCATTGTCATGAACACATTTCGGCTATTTAAGGTATAACTTTTCTTTTAATATAATGATTTGTGGGATTTTAAGTGAATCTATGCGTAATAAAAATTAACTTTTCATTTAATGAAAAATATAACATCTTTCGAGCTACATACGAGATGAGATGTAGATATCGTTCATCGTATCATCTACACTTCAGACGTATGATGCAGAATAGTACTCACAATGATAGTACAATAAAAAACCTCACAGATTCAACTAGCAAAAGAGCTGAGATTCATTACAAAAATTTGTTCAACAATTATCAATGAATTAGCGATCTTACTTTTTGTGTTTATCAGGCAGTCCTTTATTAAATAAATCGTGCACTGACAAGCAAAATACATATCCAAAAGACCACCAAGACTAGAGATAGGACTGTGACTTAACTTAGCTTTTAGAGTTAATGAACAGAAAGACAGGGTCGAGATACTTACATGGCATTTTTCTGAATGCATTCTGTCAAAAATGGCATAATGCTCGAAATTAACCTTCATGAAAAATTTTTGAATTGAATACTCCATTGTTTTACTTTGAATCTTTAGGCGGTAAACTTAAAATCATTAAGACAAAACCTGAATAAAAATTCAATTATAAAATTTTGAGTAAGTGTTAAATTTTGGTAATAATAAAGAATTCTCTTCCCATAAAAGAAAAGAATGTTAATTAAATATGGAATACTCCATCTAACTGCATAAATATGGATGCTGCATCTGCTCCGTTAAATTAATATCGCACCTGCGCCACATGTCAAGCAGGCTTTTCTAAAATTCTAAATCCACAGATGCAGTTAACATTGATATACTTAATCTTTGAACTTTATAAACTCCTAATGTAATATAATATATATTACAACAAGAAAAATAATTACATTTCCTTCGTCATTGCATTCATCATTCTGAAGAATTTTCCAGCTTTGAATTTTATTTAAAAATTTTTTGATAGTTGTAGAAATTTGGCTGTCATTCAAAGAAATGGCAACACATATTTCAAATAGCTTACTATACCATAAACCAAAGCAAAAATTCGGATACAGATGATGTGTTCCCGAATTTGATTGGCTACAGAACGTAATTATATGTGAAAGATATGCTTATAAATTTCGCTTCAAGGGGAATTTTTACTAGTTTATCTATTCTCAGCTTTGTTCGCAAGGTAATTATTACATGTTTCTAGATTTCGATAAATTTTAACACTTATATCGTTTAGAAAATATTACATGCTTACTTGTAAAGTACTTAGAGATTATTTTAAGTTAGTTTGTTCATTTATAAAAAAAATAATTTAGGTCTAATTAATTTACTAGAATTTGGAATTTATCTTCGAAAATAATTAAGATATTTAAAAAATTACAATTCTGTATCACAAACAATTACGATCGGCTATTTTGGGTAACAACGCATAGATGAAATATATATTACCTTGTGAACAGAACTATATTTTATATTAGTTTTAATATTTTAATGAATCCCTTAAATGCTCCTGCGAAGGCATGGCAATAGAATTTGTTTTTCTCAAATGGGATTAAATTTCAACCACATAATTTTCATGAAAAAACATACCACATACGTAATAAGAACATTTTACATTCAAAGGTACATTCAAAGAAATATTTAAGGTTTTCGCATATCGTTACCAAATCTAGTTTATAACGTGTTTCAAGAGTCTTAATTAGTATTATTTAGTAACTCAAAATTTCACATTAATTCCCTCAATTTTAGAAAACATTCTTGACTCTTTAGAACCTTTCATTTTAGCAATTTTTATCATGAATGATGTTTCCACAACATATTGATTTTATAGATAGTGAATACCCCATTCTTCTTCTCCCCCCAGATGAATACGTTTTGGGTGTTTGTTGTGGTTAGCGCTCTTGCTGTTGTTTCCTGTGATGATGGTGCTAAAGACCCTGAACTAGCAGGTAAGTTCAGCATCATATACAGCTCTCTGTAATAATGTTTGATGACATGTAACTGCTTTTTAAAGTATTATGATTTAACTTGAAAATAATTGAAATTTAATACAGTTGCATGTTTTTCATATGAATCAGCATCATATCATATCCGTCAGTCTCCAAAAATATGATTTTTTTTGTTTAGAATAATCGGCTTAAACACAAAATTTAGTTCATTGAAGATTGCTGAGGATTAATTTCCTTTTTTGATGCTTTGCGAATTATTGTATCTGTACCTCATTATTTAACTTTGCACAGCACGCAAGAAAGATCTGGCTAGGTAGCTTAAATACCGATTTCAGAATTAAAGGAGTCTAAGAGTTTAGATCTCTGCAGCGTACTACACTTAATGAAATTTACTTTTGATAATAATTTAGTACGACTTTATATCTTCTGCAGAATATTCCAGGTACTCAAATTTCTACAGCTTTTAAGAAATGTTTAGTTCTAATCTTTCGTTCTAAGGAAGATAGATTAGGGAATGGTAAAGCTGCATTTTGATAAATATGAATATGAATATATATGCGAAAGTCGCTGGTATTGTCTATAAAGGTTTTAAAAACTCAAAAATTCAACATTTGGGGCAATTTATAGTTAAGCATTGAAATTTTTAGGACTGTTTATCAAGGAATTTTAATGAATAATTTTTGGCAAATGATTTATTTAATTTGAAACTTATTTTGAATTAATAAAATATATTGAAATGGTCATTAATTCTTATAAATCTACATGAACCCTTATATATTAATATAATTGATTCATACTCATCCTTTGTTCAAGAAATTCGAAAATTATCTTTCGTGTTACGTCAAATAAATCATTTTTTCCATTTGGAGGCATCGTCTAAATCCTTCATCAAGTCACCTGTGATACTCTGTACAGAAATGTCAGCAAATCTGTTTGTCCGTTGCGTTTAGGAAAGGAACTCGGAAAAATTTAATGAAACTACTTATGGAAAGGTCGCCTATTTGCATTAACTTCATTTTCAGTTTTAGTAATTATTTTCCTATCACATTTTTAATTCACAGTGCATTCTTTGCATAAAATTTCATATTGCATAAAATTACTTTCCAGATAAATTATGATTCTTTTTCTCCTTTATTAAATTTCATTAAGCTTTAATTTTTATTTTCACTTTTGCATTTCTATTCAATTACGTTGAATACATAGTCATAAAAATACACTATCATACTCTTTACTGTCTTACGTATTCACGCTTTTATCTGCTTCCACAGTATACTCTGCACTACTCAACAATTGTGCTTAGAGTTTTCATAGAGTCTTATATAAGAATATTTATAAATCCCTAGGTAGAATATTGCATTTTTCTTACAGTAGAAATTTGTCACAATTTTCAAATCAGGCTCAATTAAAACACTAAAAATATATTTGCTTTAAAGCTTGCGTATCTTTTTTAAATTATTGATTATAAAATTCCATATATGGAATATTATTCATTGAATTGGTACAACGGTAGTTTTTTTAATTTTCATTCTCGCTGGAATTGCTTGAATAACATACTTGTTCCTATACGTATAATTTACTTTGGCTTCATCACTTCCATTGAAATTCAAATAACAAAAGAAGTGACATCCAAGCCTTGAGAAGGTGCAATAATCGGGTAAATATCAGCGTTAAACGATCGCCGAAAGAACTAGGTCGAATAAAGGAAGTATTTCTAAGGAAACTATTTCGAAATAGCTGAAAATAAGAAAGTTTTAGTTATTTTCAAATCTGAAACAGAATATAAAAGAATAGAATAAAAGCTTCATTTTTGAAATAGATATAAGTTAGAGGGCCATAATAGTGAGCTAGAAAGTTCAGGATAACCTTGATTTAGAAGTCAAAGTTGCTCGAAGAGTACGAAATGCAACCAAAATTCTAAACAATTAAAGCCATAAACCGGGAACATTAACCCTTTCTTAATCTCTTCCTAGGTGATAGAAGACGTAACGAAAAGCTAAAAACAAATTTAATGTTTATTAAGACATAATGTGCCCACACAAGAATTAATCTTATAAAAAGTGTGGGATGAAAGAAAATAATTTAATAATCGCAATATATCTAAACTTTTAGAGCATAAAGAAGCTTTCTACCCTCCCAAAGAAAATGTTCATATTAAAGTAATCAGCAGCGATTACATGCAAAAAATCCTAAATATTGATATTGAGTTATATAATTTTAATACCTGTATTAAAACAATTGATAGACATCTAGTGAATAAATGCAAAAAAGAAATAATCCGGCGCACTCTAAATATGTGGGAAAAGAAACATAATTTTTTATTTTATTTTAGACTGAATTAACGTTATCATTGACGGTTTTCTTATTTAAGCCCGTAACGCTTGCGCGAGAGATGGCTTTTAATTACCTAAGTTTATTTGTGGAAATATATCAAATTATGTATAAATTGGATAAAAGGAAGTATCAAAAACGTCCAATAAATTAACAAAAGTGGTGTGTACAGAAGATTTGCTGCAGTAGGATTACATTTTCAGTAGATTTCTGATGGTGTAAATGTGCTTTGAATATGGTTAATATTCAAAGTACATTTCTAAAAATGGAATCTTGATACTTCTTCACGCATCTGCCCAGCATATATAAATGAAATGTTGATTTAATAGTTTAGAGAAAACTGAGGGATTTTTAAAAAGTTGCATTATTACAGCTTTTTTATAATCACATATTTATATTTCGAATTATATATGTTTAAAATGCTTTAAAGGAAAATATTATAATATAGTTTATGAAAAGACGTTACTATTGCATAAACTGAAAATTCAGTTATTCCAGATTCTGGAGTCTAAACGTTTCATGTAAATAAATCGGATGAAGTTTACTTTAATAGCTACGAAAAACCTAATTAGAGTGAACGTGATTCTGCTCTGATTATAAACGAAATACATGAAGTCTTTATACCCTTCAAGTTTTTAATACCACTTTTAAAGCTTCCACTTTGACTATTCACGAATTAATAAATGCATCCAAACACTAAGTAATCTCAATATATACATAAATACATCAATATATAAATTTTAAGGTATATTTGAAGTTTGCTAAAAATACATTCTTTCTTTGTTTTATAGCTGTTCAGCAGAAGTTACGAAAGTTAGAACTCATAGAAAAGTTCATAGCTGCGATTCCTATGAATACCAGAAAAGCGGAACAAAGGTAAGAAATGCTATTTGTAAAATATGGTACTGAATAAATAGCTTTTTTCTCCTTAGTATTACTGAAAACTTATATTTTATCTGAAGGCTTTTAGATGCAACATAAGAACGATATATGATGTAATTCGTTTTCCGAAATTCCTTGTGGAATGAAAGTTTCACATCAGAGGTAATCAGACTTGTAAATATACATCTGCTTCTCTGTATAACAATGATCAGTTAAATTAGAAATATTTTCTAATAGTTAAGTAAACTGTTTTTAGTTTATTAAAGGAAAGATATATAATACATGCATTGTGCAAAAACGTGGAGATGGGTTTACGTAACTTAAGCTAGTTTCTGATCTTAGCAAATTTGGCGTGTGAGATGTAAATTTAGTCATAATACATGATAATGTTGTGAAATCCACAGAGCTCTATACCTTTGTGGGAATCGTAACGCTAATTAATTGTCATGATGTAAAGCATTCTCTGATGGCGAAGCATTCCGATATGGGACACCGAATGAAGAAAATCAATTTCTATATACTCTATTTTGCATTTTCTACTTCACAGTGGTGATATTCCATGGATCTCGTATTTGTTGACGTATTATGCTTTCAGCTCGAGAGACATTTAAGAGAATCACTAGCTAGATTAGAGAAGATATTGACATGGGCAGGGTTATGAAGAACCGAACCTAATACGGCTGTGCCTGCTTTGCCTGAGTATTTACAGTGTCATGTGACATAAAGAGAAATATGAGTCTATCTTTCACCTATCAGATTACTTAGTATCACTACTGAACGTATCTGAGTGTCGTGAAACAAAACCTTCTACTTGCGGTATTGCCTCCCGAACTGAATGTAAAAAATTTTAACACCAAAACATGGTACAAAAAGGTTAGAATAAAAAATACTGAAAGCAAACTTTGATAGGTAATTTTTTATTGGAAAACAAGAAAAGGCTGTCTGTCCAGGTGGAATGCCTAAATGGATATTAAATAAAGCAAAACCACCAACCCATATGGCAGGTTCCTTCGCTATGAACTGATCTCGGGGTGAACTACTGTATTCAACCGTATTTTCTACTTGGATACTAGTAAATACGCATATTTAAAACCTCCTCTCTAACAGGTAGCCAGAATTATTCTACCAAAGTAATAGTATATTAAATGATAAATCTTTTCTTTGGTAAACTTATAGAGAGATAAATTTATGTTTATATTATTCCCGAATTTATCTCTGCATTTATCCTTAAAATTTGACCATCTGAAGAAATTTGTATCAAAACAATGCAAAAAGTCAGTTTTACTTCAAACAATACTCATGCATTATTTTTTATTTTATTTAAAAGGGACGATTGCCTCGGCTACGGTGAAGAATGCTTCATGATTTCCGGACCTAACTGCTGTGGATTTTCAAATTGGTGCAATTACCATGATGAATACATTCCAGGTGACGCTAACAACCCTCCAAGATATGTAAACAGATGTCGGGCTGGTAGTTTGACTGTAATGGCTGAAGAACTCTATAACAACACTATCGGCAGAAGGTAGTTTTGATACCATCAAATAAGGATGCTTGGAACGAACGGCAAATCTTGAATTACCAAAACATTTCATTTTGTTTGCTCTTTTTGTGATTAAAGCGATTTAATTTAGCTAAATTTGCTGTCTTTTTTCATTTTCTGCTCTCAGATTTTGATACTGTTTCGATACATTTAGCAATAACTGTTATACTGTAAAGGTATTATGAAATGTTAACGCTTTAGATTTTTATTACAAGAGTTATAGTTTTCTGAAGAAATAGTAATGAGAAAAAAATAGAATGTTTATTAATTTGATTGGAAGAATGAATTTTTAATTACTGGTGAAATTTTCTCTAAAATCTGTGTAAGGTAGAAATAATTAAGCATTCGAAGCTAGTAAAAATTCCTTTTTATATTTGTCAGCAGAAAATAATAGATTTCGACCTTGAAACTTCCATTTATAGCCTGTCTATTGAATCTAAGGAAGTAAATTTTAAACTTCAGATAAAAAAATAATATAAACGTTAAATGTACAAACAAAATAATATTTACAAATTTTCTTTAAAATAGTTTTAAAAGTTTGCTGATAGTTTAAACACTATCCACAGTTTTTTCATAATAATAATATCTACTCCTGCCAATTTCTTAAATTGAAATTTTACAGTTTAAAAACATTTAATCACATGAATTTCAGGTTCTACATAACACTCTTCCTCAATTTTTGAATGCAAAATATAACAAACACAAAAAGTAAAACTGTTGATGGTGTTTAACTGAAATACGTTATGAAAAGATAAATCGGAGATTTCAGCATGTATCTTGATAGAAAATTTCATCATAATTTTTTTTTGTTGAATAACCGGATATTGTAAGAAAAATTCAATATTAGAAATCGAGCAAATTACAGGGTTTGAGATTTATCGCATCAGATTTGATTCAGAATTTACTTATTTCTGGTGCTGTTGAGTGAAGTTCTTTTACAGTATTTAAGGGAAAGAAAAATTTTACGCATCCTAGAATTGGATTTTATCATTTATTGGAAGAGAGAATAGCTTTACTCGAGAAGGTAAAAACATTTTGTGTGATTCGAGCCACCAGCAGAAAAGGTAGCAGGGACTTAATGAGAAAATAAAAGTACCCAAAGTAGCGTAAAACATATTCTAAAAGGGAAAATAATTAAAGTAAATAAATGATTGATTTTGCAAATTTTTAATTTTCTATTTTTCATTATCAAAAGGCAAGGGGATTTTATGCATTGAAATTAGAATTATACAACTAGATAAGCATCTAATCTACGAGAATAGGGGAAAGTAGGTATATTTTAATGCAGCAATCCAATTCGGAATTTCTTACACCAGCACCTTATTCTAGTACATATTTGCACAAAACTTTACATTTGTTTGGTGAAAATAATTACAGACTAGTTCAACTGTTTTGTGTGTCTCACAAAACCAAGACACTGGATTTTGTAATACTGCTTTATTTTTCTTATTCAAATCAAAATGTGTAGTGTATCTAGAAAATTGGAGATTAAGTTCATGCGAAATCTCGTGCTGTAGAAATTAACTTTCTTACTGATTATCATTCGTTATAGATATATTTTATTCCTGTACAACATTCTATTTCAAACGAACATGTGCAGCAAAGAACTGCTTAAGTTCTTCTCAGATGTCATCATTTGGAACACGGATGAAGGCTTTAGTTATGATTTTTGAGATTCTTCTATAATTATTAAAAGAGTGAACCTTTTAGGTTAAAAGGTGAATTTTTGAGGCTCAATGCTTTTTAAAATATTGGAAATTGGGGGTTAAACGAAGAGAAATTAGTCTGAAGGTCATAAGTATGATGAATAATAGATGTAGTTGAAGGTTGTTCTCCTTTACTAGAAAGTGCTTAAGAAGACTGGAATTATGGATTATACATTGTCCTTCAAGAAAAACCTATTTATTCAGGTGAAACTTTTCATGATCAATTCTCTAAGTTCACTTCAAAAACTCGACTAATACATCTATTTAAAATAAGTATTTCAACGTAAAGCCGGAGGAATGTACCTTTTGAAAATTTACCATTTCCAAATAAAATAGTGCATCAACATGATCCCTACTCGAAATCGAAGTTACTGTGGCCGCGCTGATACTTTTCTAAAACAAATATTGGATTGCTGCATTATCTCAAGATTTTATGCAGAGCACCATGTTTCATTGCGAGTTAGAGGTTATTTTAAAAAAATCAGGATAAATGTCAAAATCTGGATCAGAGCATGGCACGCATGTGTTCTATCTTCTTTCCATTGTATACCTAATGCATGGGAGGAAATGAAGAAATTATTTTCTTCTTCCTAGAAGCTTCTATCATAGCTTCATAGAAGTTTTATAAGCAGTTATTTTTTGATACTACGCTCATCGACTATCATTTGAAGAAACAACTGAGATTTTGCAATAGCATCTGTATGACATTTTCGATAATCTTCTTACACTGAGTATGACTATGAAGCCGGTCGTTATATGGTAAAATAAAAAAGTGAAAAATTTTAAATAATTGAATAACCGTTATATTCAGTTAATCCAAAGAATATCTACATTTGTTATTTGCTTTGTGATATAAAGAGCAAGATTTTCATTCATCTTAAAAAACATCTGATGAAAAGTTATATATTGTTAAATAACCGCATTTTAAAGAAAGTTGATTATAAACTAAGGCAAATAAGAACGACAGATTAGTGACTAAAGGATAGTCGAAAATAAACACAATATTTAAACGTCAATAAATTGTCAGTTTATAAATTTAAGTTTAAAAATACAGAAAATAATGATTTGAAGAGACGTTTTTAATTTACCCTAGCCGGCAAGACAAATACCTGGTTAATGCCTGCACTGATAAACTTAAAAAGGTTAGAAGATCCTTAATTATATATGCATAACCTGAAATAAGAAATAATTCTAAATTCTAGAATATGAACACCTTAAGCATTCAGTGTTTACAAAAAAAAAAAAAAAAAAAAAAAAAAAAAAGAATTGCATACCTTAAAAATAAATAAGAAAGAGAAATTTATTTACATCGAGTATGTTTTGAGTAATATAAACCCCCTCTTTTTGCACCAGTAAGGGCACATATGGATGAAATGCACCTTTAGCGGTCTTGATAAAACAATCCGTAGGGGTCTCTTGTAGTCGATCGGAGTTCGGTCTCTAGCAGCTCCGATTATAGGCACAGGGAGGTACGTATGTTCTCGGAACCATTCATGCACATACTGAAGAAAAACGTAGATTTGTCATTTGTACATTTCAAAGGGTCTATCGATGTTCCGAGGAATACATTCTCATCACCAATGAAGAAGCTCTTATCTTGCACTGACTGTTCTCCTGACAATCCTGAAGCCAACAAAATAAAAAATGACCGTTTCTACTTTTACTCTCGTAGCATCGTAGCAAAACAACCTTAAGCGGGGATATGGGAATCCCCATTCCCGTTTACGCTTTTCTGTGTGTGGGAAGAAAGGGGGTTATAATGCAGGAAACGTAGGTATTTCTTGTTAACTTAAAACCTTTCATTTCTTGTTTGTCAACATCTGCTGAAGTTACCTCGGGGCGTTTGAGCGCATTTTTGGAGATGAGTGATACAGAAGACAGACGGCTGATTCGATATGTTACTCGGCTCTGATGTTAAGTTAATCTAGAATCTTTTTCAAATTTTTAACATATCAAGTTGAAAAGTTTCGATTCACTCTCTAGGCAATTCTGGAGTTCAGACCTCTTGATTCGTCGACTGATTGGTTAAACACAAAATTAAACTCCTTGCTGTATACCCTTTACGGTCAATGTCTTTTTGCCTTCTATTGTTCCAGGTCAAGTCACTGGCAAGTTCTTTTGCGTTTACTAAGTAAAACAGACGAAGTTTGCAAAATAGAAAATGAGAACTTATAATCCATTGCTCCAACGAGAAAGCTTAACTAGCTATTTCTAAAATGATCTTTGATCAGCTCTTGCACTGGTGTTTTTAGAGAACAGTAAAATTCAAATTTAGCTCAACAAAATGCATAAAACCAAATCATTGTTTAAAATTAGCAAAGCAACAACTTTCTGTTTGGCCCACATTTTAGCGAAGAGTCTATGGATTTAAAGGGCAAATAGCTCTAGATACAGCTTTTTCTTCATAAGATGCCAAGACATCTGTAACCAAGGTTAAGTTTCTGTTGTATTTATATCCATAAGGAGTAAACCGAACTAGAAAGTAGTGCCATTTGCCAGTAGAAATAGTTACAAAAATTGAAAAATTAAATTAATAGAAATTTAAAGACTTTAGGAAGAACTGGATTGGAGTTAAAGGCATTAACTAAGCATGATAAATCTTTATAAAATGCTTCAAAAAATCCAATTTACAAATGGGAGAAGATTTTAGGATAATTTTTGAAGATCCAAATTCGAAATTATGATTGTGTGATTAGCTATGGAAGAATTGTTATTTTCTCCTTTTCGGACATACGATTCGTGTTTTTTTAATGCGGAACGTTAGGGCTTTTTTAGTTTGTCCATATATCGCAAAACACACTGACAGAGAATCAAGAATGTAGTTATGAATCGGACCATGGATTTTATTGATAGGAGAGAAAATGACTTCAAAATTGAACTTCTAGAGTCCATGGAATTTAGAAACTGACAGAAGGATGAAATGGAAGATTAGTAGCAGCGAAATCTCTTAAAGGTTTTATGACTACGGTAGGAAATCCGTGGTCAGTGGTAACTAATCTCAAATAATTGAGATTATTAGCGAGCAATGGCTCTGAGGAGCAAATTTTGAGAGAGCGAAATGCATATTAGTAAAAACGAAGTCGTGTTTTGCTTTGCCGAGTTATATGACTCAGCATGGGAGGAAAGCACACTGAAAAGAATTTACGGTAAACGGTAATACTGAAATCACATTCATTGCGGGTCATAAAAATATCCAAAAAAGGGAAGCGTATTGTCAGGTTCATTTTTAAAAGTAAACTGGATGGTTGTATCAAACGAATTTATAAGGGGTAAAATATGAGATAGCTCTTCTTTATTACTATCAAAAAGATCTAAAATGTCATCTGTGTGACGAATCCAGAAGCGAAACGATAGTTTCTAGGATAATTTGATCTCAAAATAGTGCGTGTAAATGTCTGCAAGTACAGGACGGAGAGGATTACAAACAGCTAATTACTTATATTTATCGATAATATTCATTTCGAAAAACAAAGTAGGTTTTACTCAAAGACGCTTTAGGAAGAAAATTTAATTCTTCAACTTCAGTACGTGTGAAATGAAATTCTCGAAGCCTAGTTTCAAAATATTTTTCATCTCGTTTGACTGGAGCATTAGTAAACAGCGACTGACAGTCAAAAGAAGCCATGTAGCGTAGGGGAGAAATAATATATTTAAATTTGCTTACGACTTCAAAAGCTATTTTACAGAAGGAATATTTTTAGAAAGTAAAGGAGAAAATATTAAAACTAAATATTTGACCAAAGAACATGATATCATTCCTTAGTTGGAAGTATAGTTCGAAAAGAAATTCCAATTTTGTGTACTTTTGAGAGAGCATAAAACTTAGGACAATTAGCAATATGTTGATTGAGTGATTTGAGGAGTATATGAGAAGATTTATCATCTTTTTAAGCTTTCAATAGGTCAAATTTTGAAAGAACTTTAAGAATCATATGTATTGGCCTTTATTTATCAGTTTCGTGACTTCATCCATGAATGTATGTGTGTATGTGTTTATGGTCAAACACTTACTTTGCAAATTAAGAACGCCATCATATGCTTTGGTAAAATATTTAGTTTCTATATTTTCTCCTTTACTTTTTACCAATACTCACACCGTAAAAAATTCTTTTTGAAGTTGTAGATTAACTTAAAGATATTTTCTCCCTAGCACTCCATAACGGTTCTTTCAAATTTAAATCATTATTTACTAATGTTCCACTCGAAGGAACACTGAAATGTCTTGAAACTTGGCTTCAAGAATTCTATTTAACATGTATACTGATATTGAAGAATTAATTCCTCTTACTCAAATCTCTTTGAATCAAACTTCTTTCGTTCGCCAAAATGAATATTATCACCAAATTTAAGGATTCGTTACGGGTAATCCTCTCAGTCCTGTTCTTTTTGACATTCGCTTGGACTATTTTGAGGTCAAATTGTTTGGGAGACAACATTTTTGTCTCTGGATTCGCTACCTAGATAACACTTTGGTGCTTTTTGATTATAATAAAGAAATTTTATCCCATATCTTATCTGTTATAAATTCAACTGAATCAGCCATCCGGTTTTTTGAAACTGAATCTGACAGTACCATTCCCTTCCATAATATTCTTATACTAGTTCACAATGTATCTGATTCCAACAATACCGTTTACTATAGGCAATTTATGTTTGATTCCCTCAGCATGCTAATATATGTCACCGGTTAAGCAGAAACTGGCTTCATTTTAGTATTATGAATTCTACGCTCTCAGAGTTCGTTCCTCGGAAACTTTGCCTGCTAATGAACTCAATTATTTTAAACCAGTTAACACTGACTGAGAATTTTCTGTCGCGGTCATTGATAAACCTTTAAAAACTTTCATTGTGCTATTAAAGAAAGCATTATATTCTTAGAAATAATATTATTAACGTCGTCATGCTTTCTAATCCTACTGTCAGTTATAAAACTATACGGATTCCCGACTATAAAACTATACGGACCACGCTGGGCCGGTATTCCAGAGGTCAGTAGTTCGATTCCCGGCGAAGACGTTATTAATTTTTCATCTTTCCTGCTTCCTAAAAATAACTAATGTCTCTACAGTGGTGCCCGAACTAAAAGCGTGTTAGATGACGATTCTCCCCGCCCAGGATTTGCCGATTGTGTCCCCTAAAAATCCCAGTCGCCCTTTAAAAGGGGGAGTATATAAGGTATTTCTCCCGCCTTCCTAGCGTGCCTTAGTGGTATAGTGGTTCTGCACGCTGGGCCGGTATTCCAGAGGTCCGTGGTTCGATTCCCGGCGGAGGCGATTGCTCATTTTTCACCTTTCCTGCTTCCAAAAAATACCTAATGTCTCTACATGTTTTTATAGTAATAAAGAAAGAATCCCAATCTCACATAATGGAAAATTTTTAATTAGATAATGAGTATTGCATCTATGATGTTTCTCGGTAATATTAATATTGCAGCTGCGTCAGTTAACAGGCAGACTTATTCTTATCATCTCTAGAAATTTAAATGCGTAGATCAATTAACATCGATATACTTAGCCTTTTAATGTTATAGGCTCCTAACACATTGAGATGTACACTACAAAAAGAAAACGTAAATTCCTTTTCTTCGTTTCTGTATTCCTCATTTGTAAGAATTTTCCAAATTTTTCTTTTACGTTTTTAACTTTCCATAGTTTTAAGTTTTGCTGTCACTCAACGAAATGGCATAACATATTTCAAACCTTTTACAATAACATAAAGCAAAGATAAAAATCGGATACAAATGATGTATTCTCGGATTTCATTGCGTATGAAAAGTAACTGTGAGTGAAATTTCTGCATAGACTGCATAGATGTGAAATTTCTGCATAGAAATTTCTCTTCACAGAAAATCTTAACCAATTTACCTATTCTCAGCTTTGCTCGCAAGGTAAGTATTAAGCGTTTCTGTATTTATATATTTTTCAACACACATACTGTTTAGCGAATATTACACTTTTGCTTGTAAAGTACTTTAATATTTTTTAGTTTGTTTGTTATATTAAAAAAAATTCTCAGAAACTTAAGCCTGATTAAATTGTAAGAAATGAGACCTTATGTTCAAAAATAGTAATTATAATTAAAAATTTAAAAAATTATAAATTTGCATCACGAAGAAATACAATCTGGTATATTTGGTGAAAAACACATACATGAAATATACATTGTGTCCTCAGTTGAAGGTTTTATATTTTTAAATCTGATTTAATTTTCTAATGAATCTCATAAATATTCCAGACAAATCTGAAAAGTCATAACAACATTACATTTAATGCAATTTGTTATGTCGCTTTTGTTTTCATCAAATGCGGTTAAATTCCAATCATAGTTTTCCATGAGTAAGTATGCAGGATAAGTAAGGAGAATTTTTCTTTATGTTCAAAACTGATATTTTAAGGAACCTATTAAAAAATATTATTAATTAACTCAAAATTTCACAATAATTCCCTCAATTACACAAATGTAATAATTATTAAAAGAACTTGTGATTCTTTAGAACATTTAATTTAACAATTTTTATCATAAGTTATGTGTGTAAAACATATTAAATTTATAGATAGTGAGTGAATAGCCCATTCTTCTTTCAGATGAATATGTTTTGGGTGTTTATCATGATAGGCACTCTTGCTGTTGTTTCCTGTGATGATGGTGCTAAAGACCCGGAACTAGAAGGTAAGTTAAGCACCACATACAGCTCTCTGTAATAACGTTTGATGACATGTGCCTGCTCTTTAAAGTATAAGGATTTAACTTGAAAATAATTCAAATTTAATACAGTTGCACATTTTTCTTATGAATCAGCAACATGTCACGTCCGCTAGTCTCAAAATTACGATTTTTTGGGTTTAGAGTAATACATATAAACACAAAAATAATACAAAATTTTAAATACAAAACTTAGTCCCGCGGAAGATTGCTGACGATTCATTTCCTTTTTTCATACTTCGCGAATTTTTCAATTGTACAGTTTTGATAATTGTACAGCATTATTTTACTTTGGCACAGCATATAGGGACAATCTGGTTATGTAACGCAGCTACGGACTTCAGATTTATGAGACTGAGATTTCAGATCGCTGAAGATTGCTACAGGGAATGAAATATACATTTAACGAGAATTTATTATGATTTGATGCCTTCTACAGGAATTCCAGATTCTCAAATTTCTACAGCTTTCAAGCAAGTTTTAGTGCTCATCTTTCATTCTAAGAAAGAGAGTTTAGGGAATGGTAAAGCTGAATTTAAGATAAATATTGAAACAATTATGTATGCGAAAGTCGCTGGTATTCCGTATAAACGTTTTAAAAACTCAAAAGTTTGACAATTTGAGAATTTTAAATTTATTTGCTTAATACGTATTTTTTTACTCTTTCACAGCTGTTCAGCAGAAATTGCGAAAATTAGAATTTATAGAAAAGCTCATGGATGCGATACCTGTGAATGGCAGAAAGACCGAACAAAGGTAAGGAAGCTATTTTTGAAACATGGTAATAATGGCATGGAATCATTCCTTTCCTGTTTTCCTTGATGTGGTATATCGGGCACTATCGATGTGGTATATCGGGCACTATCGATGTGGTATATCATAATCGGACTTAAAGCTGGCACCGCGCCAAGCATCGAAGCGCGCGCAGTAATAAGAAAAGTACTGGGATGCGAGTAGCTGTAGTTATGGAGAGTTGTAGATATAAGTGTGTATGCGAGTGATGATATATTTTGTATGTATAATAAAAGTAGCATGCAGTTTAAAAGAGTGGATCTTGTGAAATAATTACCCACTAAAGGATACGCGACAGCTGGCGACGAGGATGGGATGATTTTTAAAAAAATGTGCCTAATGCGATCTCAATAAGGATTTAGGGGATTCCCCGAAGACGACTTAAGGTAAGCCTCAAGGTAAAAGCTTTTATAATCATTTTTCTTTCGGATAACTCATCATGGAGCAGCTTGTAACTGAGTTAATAGCGCAGAATAGAGCTCTAATGGAGAGACTTACTTCAGTTATTACTCCACAAATGGACAATTCGAAACTTTCGGTTCAGTTTGAAAAATAAAATGAACACGAAGAACAGTTTGATTCGTTTCTAGAGAGATTCGAAAGTTATTTAGATATACAAAATGTTCCACAGGATAAGCGTGGAAAAGTATTGATTTCTAGTTTGTCCGAAAAAATGTATAGTCTCTTAAAAAACTTTCTAGCTCCAGATAATCCTTCCGATAAAGATCATGAAATGTTAAAAACAACATTAAGAAATCATTTAAATCCTAAGCCACTTATAATTGTAGATTCCCCGAAGACGACTGTATTTGTAAATCGATGTATTTCTAAATCGAAAGTAGCACGTGGGGGAAACAATTAATATGTATATGTCAGAATTAACGTCACTTGCCACACCGTGTGCTTAAGATCAAAATATGTTAAATACGATGTTGCGGGATGTGTTTGTTAGTGGGCTAAGAGATAGGGCTATTCTGGATAGAATTTTTGAGCAGGATAATATCAGTTTAGATGACACTTTAAAAATAGCTTTGGCAATGGAAAAAGCTTTAAAAGGATACATGACACTTAATGTTATTGAAAATACAGATTTTATCTGAAAGATTTTAAATGCAACGTAAGAAGGACATGTGATGCATTTTTGCATCCAAAATACTATGTGGAATTGAATTTAACACCAGAAATAACCTCTCTTGTAAATACAAATCTGATTTTCTGTATAAGAAACATTAGGTGAGAAAGGTTTCATATAATGTACTTTTGTTTGGCTAAAATAAAGGAGTATAAATGTATTGTGTGTGGATGCGTTTTAGCAACTGAAGCTATTATGAGGTGTAAAACATCCTCTGGCCACGATATATGCCAATATGCAATATCGAATGAAGATAATCAGTTGTCTAACATTGTTTTTTCAGTTTCTGCTTCAGAGTCGTGAAATTTCATGAATAGCATATTTAATGACATAATTTGTCTTATACACTTTCAGCCTCAGGGACATTTGAGGCACTCAGTAGCTAAACAATGGAGGGTTAGGACACGAAGGAGGATTGTAGAGATAACAGCCTCATACGATCGAGACACGTAATGTGCACAGGAATAATAATGCAGTAGATTACAGGCTACCTTTCATCTATTCAGATTACCTAGCATCATTGCTGAACGATTCTGATTGCAGTGCAAGAAATAAGTCTACCTGCCAGATTGTCTTCCGAATAAGATGGACGAAATTTTATCAAAAATTACAAAACGTTAAGAATAAAAAATATTCAAAGTAAAGCTTAATAGGCAAGTCTTTATTAAAGAAAATGTTCTGTATCCAGATGGTGGTGGTGGTGGTGTTTTTAATTATGGCAAAGCACACTAGGGCTATCTGCCTAAGGGGAGGGATGCCTTAGTGGAGGACTTTCTAAGGGAAACTGGCTCGTATACACGTTACACATGGGGAAACCCACGAAAACGCCCATGCAGCCAGCCCGTTCGCGGGATTCGAACCTCAGACCGAAGTGTCAGTGCTCAGCGACTTTACCGCTCAGCCGCTGGTGGGCCTCTGTATCCAGATGGACTATCTAAATTGATATTACATAAAACAAAACCATCTATTCGTTTATTCGGTATAGCAAGTCCCTTTGCCATCAGCTGATCTCGGGTCGAACTACTACATTCAATCATGTTATCTGTTTGGCTACTACAAAACACGTATATTTAAAAATTCTTCTATAATATGTAGATAGAACGGAGGAGCCAGAATAACTCATCCGTAAGTAATAATATATTAGATACTAAACCTCTCCTTCGGTTATCTTACAGAGAGATAAATTTATCCCTGTATTACCCCTGCATTTATCTTGGCATTTATCCTTAAATTTGTACCCTCCTAAGAATTTCGTATCAACACAATATTGTTGCGTGTGTAGGGTTCTTACTAGATTGAATGCACAAGTCTGATGAAATGTTAATAAAATTTATTCTTATCACAAGAAATAAAACAAAATGCTAAAATTTTCCCCCGCAGATATTCGCACAATATCACGTAGTAGTCACATTTTAAACTACTAAAACGTTAAAGAGAACACAATTAGCACAGAGAAAGATAATGCGATCTCACCGGGAATTCACTACAATCGACAACAAAACCGTAGTAATTAGCTGAACAGAGATGTTTTTCTCCGGCTTTTTATAAGAATTTCAATCAATCATGAGTTTCTCCTAATTTCTCGAGGTTTCTGGAAAGCAAAAGAGCAGAATCTCAACCACAGCCAACACACAATTGCATTGTTTTAATTTAAATATAAATTACGAGATATCTATTTATTAAATGCGCGTGCTCCTGTATTTTTACTTTTTTTGTCGTAGCTTTCTCACTCATGTAAAATTTTGTCTCATTCAACAGGGACGACTGTCTCGACTACGGTGAAGAATGTTATTTTCTTTCCGGACCGAACTGCTGTGGATCTGCAACTTGGTGCAGTTACCAAGACGAATACATTCCAGGCGACGCTAACAACCCTCCAAGATATGTAAATAGATGTAGGGTTGGTATGTTCACCAAATGAGCTGAAGAAACATATGTCTGTCGGTAGAAGATAGTTTGATACCTTAGGTTAAGGGTACTTGTAACGAACGTTTCGGCAAATCTAGCATTATAAAAACGTTTCACTTTGTTTTTCTCTTTTCGGAATTAAAGTGATTTAATTTAGCAAAATTTTTTGTCTTTTTTCATTTTCCGTTCTCAGATTTTATTACTGTTTTGCATATATTTAATAAATGCTGTTATACTGGAAAAGTAGTATGAAATGTTAATTCTTTAGCTTTTCAATGCAAGAAATATAGAATAGAATGATGCTAGCGAATGATTACTGAAGACCAAATAGAATGATTACTAGAGCCATGTTTTGTATTGAAGGAATGAACTTTTAATGGCTTGTGAGGTATTCTTTAAACATACCAGCAATATAACAATAATTAAGCATAATGAAGCTAGTAAAAATTCCTTTTTAGTATCTTAGACGACGAAAATTATAAAAAAATCCAGTTCATGACGGTAAAGATAAAAATCCAGTTCATTACAAGTCAACTTCCTACCATTGAATATCAACTTCCTACCTCTGAACTTCAGTTTATTGACTGGTAGCCTACCGAAACCTCTAAGAATAGCATAGCGACACGAAAGAATTAAAATTTAAAAATTAAATTTAATAAATTTACAACGTTAAAAATATAAAAGAGTTAAATTTCGTAAAGCTTCTTACAAATGCTCTTGTTTTCTTAAATGAAAATAATATCTATTCTTGCCAACTTCTAATATTAAAATTTTACTTTTAAAGAAATTCAATTTCATGAATAGAAGTTTTACATTATTTTATCCTTCAATTTTTAATATATAATATAGCAAACAAATATACTAAAAATGGTGCAGTGTGTAATCGAAATACGCTATGAAAATATAAATCAATTTCAGTACCTGCCTTGCTAGAAAATTTCGTCATCAGAGTTCTTTATTTTGGATGAAGCGATTTCTTTAAGAAAAAGCACAATTAGAAACCGTGAAAATTATTCGGTTTCAGAAAATCATTTCTCGCATCAGATTTGATTCACAAATTTATCATTTTCTGATGCTGATGAGTGACGTACATTTACAACGTTGAGAGTAAAGAAAGTTCTTGCCCATCATATAGATTGGCAATAATGTGTTCTTATTTTCCTGAATTTTGTTTGTAATGAACAGGATTTTTATCTTTACCATCATGATATAATAGCTCTTTGACATGATAAAAACTTGTTCCATGTTTCGATTCAAAATCAGAAGAGCCAGCAAAGATTTAATAATAAAATAACACACCTAAAATAAAACAAACACATTTTCAAAGAGGGAAAATATTAAAATGAATAAGGGATTAAATTCGTAAATTTTTAGTTTTCTGTTTTTGGTTATAAAAAAGTAAATTACTTTTATGCATTTGAGAACAAAATTACACATATCGATAGGCATTTATTGTAAGAGAATAGAGAAAAAAAGTAAAGTTTATTTAATGCAGTAATCCAACCTCGAACTTCTTTCCCTTAATACGCTTATATTTTTTTTTCTTTCTTTGTTCTTCACAGAACTCCATTGCCATTTTTTTTTTTTTTTTGGTTAAAATAATTACAGACTAGTTTAGCTACTTTGTATCTCTCACAAAGCGAAGAAACCGTATTTTATAATACTGCTTAATTTTTCTTATTGCAATTTGGTATATGTAGCGCATCTGCAAAATCAAAGATTTTAGCTATTAAGTTCGTGCGAAATCCCATGTATAATAACTTTCTTATTTATTAACTTTCAATACAGAATTGTCTTCGTCCTGTATAACAGCTTGTTTCAAACGAGCTTATAAAACGAAGAACTGCTTGATTTCTTCGCAGAAGATGTAAACAGATATTAAAATAGTGAATATCTAAGATTAGATTTAAAGGAAAAGAAATTAATCTACAGGTGACGAGTCTGATGAATAATGGATGTAGCTAAGAGTTGTACTGTGTTCTTCGCTAAATGTGCTTGACAAGATTGGAACTCTGGACTACACATTGTCCTTCAAGAAAAATCTAGTTATTTAATTGAAACTTTCCACGATTATCTCAAGTTATCTTGAAAAGCCTAGCTGTTACAACTTTTTAAAGCAAGAACTTTAAAAGAAAATTATTTGCAAGAATATACCTTTTGAAAATTTCCAAATAAAACAGTTCACCAACATGATCCCTACTCGAAACTACCGATATCAAATTTATATGAAATATTCCTTTTGAGTTTGAAGCACTAGTTAACTTGAACAGAGTTTGACTTGCTTGAAGATCGACGAGCAAAGAAAATTTTTGTAAAAAGTGAGCGCCAATAATAGGACTTGAAACAGTAGCAATAATGAATGGCCATTGGAAGTTGCGGCGCAATCCTAAATCAACAGATATCAGACGTTCACCAAAAGTTTGAATAGGAGTTCCATTTGCTACATAAAGTTGGAAATACTTGGGAAGGCGCTTTTGTTCGTGAAAATGTGGTGGAACGACAGAAACATCAGGCCCGGTTTCAGCAAGAAACCTTAAGAACGAATTCTTATCAATGACGAAAAGGCGTGCAAAATTCCGGCCGCTGTCGTTCACGACTTCGAGCGACGACCCTTCTAGTTTCCGTTATCGTATAATGACACGGTGGGCGGCATTTGTTTGCCTTGCTTCCAAATTTGTGGTGTTAAAAACAAATACCCGGAGGAAGGCTGTCATAACGTTTCCTCAGTTGGCTACGACGTGTATTTCGATCACGTGATGTGGAGCGGTTGCACTAAAAGGGTTCAGCTTGGATGGCTACTAACTGAGCGACCTGTTTGGACAAATCATCAATTTGAGCCTGTAACTCACCAATACCTGGACCAGGAGCCTGCACTGCATGTATTTGCGCTGGAACGGCAAGCTCGCGAATTTTATCAGCGATTTCGGGTAGCTTTTTAAGTGGCTCACTACTGGCCGCTAAAGTGGCTTACATGTTAAATGGGAGTCTATTCATCCATAATGTTTTAAGAATGTTATCCGTTAGGTTACTGGCGGCTATGTCTGACATTTTAGACAGCAATTGAGAAGGCTTCATATCGAACTGTAAATCTTGCAACAGATGCCTGATTTGAACTGTCTCGGATTCTTCATAAACTGAAATTAATTTTTTTTTTTTAAAATTTGTATTTCTTCGACGCCGATGGACTGAAAATTATTTCACGAGCTGATTGCAGTATCTCTGATTCTAACGCGGCGATCGCTGCATAAAATTGAGTTTCGTCGGCAGTAATGTGTCTCAATTTAAACTGCACATCCAGTTGAATGAACCATAACGATGGGGGCTCAGCGACAAAAAGGCGGTGGCTGAACTGCCACTCGCGCCAATTGTGAAGCAGCATCATTGTCAATCAAATACGCACAACGCAGAAAAATAATCATTATGTATAGAGTGACACAGTTTCTTGGTACATTATATCAGAGAAATTGGCGGCTTAAAGTCAACAGACGATACATATATCCGCTAAAATTATGACAGAAATATGTTGACTCGCCAGAATGCGGCACAACGCTTGAAATCACAGGTGAAATGTCTTATTTGCATCTCATCACACTGGATAACTTATTGTTGCTCAGAATTTTGACATACAATAATAAGAACAATAATTGCAGTGAAAATAGAATAATAATAAAAAAAAATTTAAAAGTATATTCTTTCCTAAAATACAAGACTGCAGGAGTTTATAAATATACTGTGATAACTGGTAAACTGTACAGAGTTCTGCTTGCAAGAGAATAAAAATAGTGATTCAAGAATTAATTAATTAAAAGATAAGCACATGGTATCAAACTGATAATGTGATAATCTGTAAAGATGCAGTATTTGAGCCCGTTTCATTCAGTGCTTTTATCCTTTTAGAACTTTGGTTAAAGATTTAAAACACAATTGTTGTTGAAACTGGGCAAAAATGCTCCGCCGATGAAACTGAGAAAGCCGTGTGCAATGAAAGGCCGCTGTTCTTATTAGAGCTGTAACAATAGAGCACGGTCGTGGGCATACAGATACAGTACAAGGTCGCCTCCCAACTGGTTTCGGGGGCAACTATGTGGGAGGAAAAATCTCTTTATAGAAGAGGACGGGGGAAATGGAATACACTTATACGTTAAATGATGCAAAATAATTAGAATAAACGCCTCAGAAGAAGGAACGGGGAAGAAATTTTCAACGAAGATAAAGTATTTAAGAGCCTACCTCATGAGTACGATTTCAGCGTTGATAGTCTTGTAAATAAGTTGTAATCCAGGAAAAACTTGAATTAATTGAACTGAATATGGCACTATTTTAATGAGCTGTACTTCCTTAATTGCTTGAAATAATAACATCAAATAGTATCCATAGGTATCCTGGGAATGAATCAAAAAGTTCAATTAATTTTATGGACGGTAGTACTATTACACAGAAAGAGTTTTATAAATAACTTTTGATCCTTGGCACTTCGCTTAACCACTTTCACAAACAAAGGAATATCTGCCGCGTTTCACAAGAACAATAAAAGCTAAATATTTGCTGAAATAATGGTCGTGGGAACTAAAGCTTTGCAGCACTGTGTTCGCGGTATGTTGCTGAAACTTGTGCTATACAATTGAAATCGAATTGTGAAATTTAAACGACACTTACAACAAAACAAACGGGAGCACATGAAACTGCAACCTATACAGCGCCGTTGCACGAACGGCAGTAATGCATGAGATATACATTATGCTGTAGAGATGTACAATATAACATTTAACATACATTAGGCTGAATATTAGTACTTCTGAAAATATACAAGACATGTAGCGGCCCTAAGTGTGGTTACCGACGGTGTGCACCCTTCTGTTGGCGTGCCACTCCCTATACATTATGAGACACTCGTCTATTGCAGCCTTGATCTTTAGATGATCTTACTTGAGTTTTTTAGTGGTCTTTAGCCAGTAGGGCCAGTAGCTGTCGTCATTCGGCCTTTTTAGCCTGTACTGTTCTCTGAGGCTGCATGAGAATAGGAGGTGGTCTGGGTTGCCAACTTCACCACATTCGCAGGTGTCATTGTCTACGAAGCCGGAGCGATATTTGTATGGGAGGAATGGACCATATCCCGTAAGAAATTGTGTCATATAATAAGAGGTAGACTGGGCCTCTGTCCTCACCTTCAGTATGAACTTGTAAGCTCGACGACCCTTGGTGCCCTGGTCCCATCTCCTTTGCCACTCTGTTATTAACAGCTCTAGCGAGTACCGCTTCATAAATGCGATCGGCTTTAACGTGGCATCCTCATCTGTGTCGGCCGATTTGGCTGCCTCCTTTGCCGCCGCGTCTGCCAGCTCATTACCTAGGATGCCAGTATGTCACGAAGAAGGTAACGGTCAATATTTAGTCAAATGATATTACGGTTAAAATGCGAAAACCATCATATTGTAAAAATTAATGATAAATCTTAATTTTCTCTCTTAACAGGAAGTAAAACGAAATGTATAATTTATTATGGAAACTTAGTAAAACCAAGTGTGATAAAAGCAATGGTTACTGAAGCACACAATTTGGAAGAAACACGTTAAGTAGTTTAACATTATCTCCTTATTCAAATGTAATTAACTAACAGATAAGTACCATAATAAAGGAAAAAGCTAACGCATTTCAAAGAATTTTCTAGTAGCTAGACAATGGCATTCTATGTAACGAAGGACATTTTCTTTTCATTAACCTTGTCGTTTTCCTTTACCCTTCCTGACATAAAATTTATATATTTTTTTTCAATATTGAGTATAGAAACTGCCACAGTTAGTTACAGGGAAGAACTGAAAAAACTCGTCAAACTCACTTTCCCTTTGGAGTATGTCTGTTTCATTCAGTTATGACTTAAAAACGTGATGGAGTTCAGTACCTGAAGCTGTTCCATAAATTAAAATCTAAGTCATAGAATTTCTTTATCTTGCACTCGATTAAACTTATAAGGTATTTTTCCCGCCTTCTTGGCATGCCATGTGGTGGTCCGCAGGCTCAGCGCATAACTGGGAGGTCCGTGGTTCGATTCCCGGCGAGGGCGTTGCATATTTTTCCTCTTGCCTGCTTCCAAAAAAATACCTAATGTCTCTACAAACTGATTATCAAAATTTCTAGCTTTTATTTTCACTTAGACATTAAATGCTAGTTTAAATTACTTTCTGTCTGAGTCTTCTACTGAAATGTTTTGTGCATTTACCTCTTTCGCACTGTAATTTTCGGTATAAGTTGTGTTACGCTCGGTTTTGATTTATTAATATAAATTTATCGCTCATATGAAAATTTTTGAGACTTTAAGTGAATAAAAATTTTTTTGCGTGTTTTTAAAATATATAAAACTACTTAAAGATGTAGGAATCGTTAACGGTTGATTACAGATATATGAAACAGAATGGTATTTCCAGCGGTACTGTGGAAAAAACTCCTCAAAGCATCACTTCTGGTGTAAAAGAAGAAATTCATTACTGAAATGTGTTGGACATTTTTACGTTTGAAATAACGATCTCAGGCTTTCTATTTCATCAATCATTCCTTCATTAAAAAATATCCGTTGAAAATCCTAGTATTTATTCGAATGATCTCCAAAAAAGACTTATATTGAGATAACCTGGAGATAAAAATGCATCGTATCAAAATTATCGTCTAAAGTTTATAATATGGGCGAGAGGTCCGCGATCCTTGCATTCTTTTTCATTGGGTGCTTTCATTAAGAAATGCATTGAGACGAGGAAGCTATTCGTCGTGAATATTCTCTACACTAAATAATCCATTTATTTCCTTTTTATATTTTGTTGAATTAAAAACTAAGTCATAAAATGAAAGGTCGAATACAAATTCAATTACAAAATTTATACCACTAATTTTTGGTCTTCTTTGCAGCTTTAATAATAATAAAGAATATGCACTAAGTAATACTGAATACTACCAAAATATTATTAACTAAATAATGAAATCATCATTTATCACGTACGCTGGGTAATTTTAAATTGCAGCTGCATCAAATGTCATGCAGTCTTCTTCATATCTTTTCCAAAAATTTCAGGCTGCAGATGTTATAGACCTTTGAATGTTATAACCTTTGAATGTTATAGACCCTGTCGCATTATAAAACAGATTGCAGCAAGAAAACGAAATTTCTTTTGGAATTATGATGAATGGATCTTTCCTTATTCTGAAGCATTTTTCAGATTTAACTTTAGTTTTTTATTCAATTTTTGATAGTTATAAAATTTGACTGTCAATCAATGAAATGAACAGCGTATTTCAATTCGTTTGTTATACTGCAAATCGAAGAAAATCTGTTACAGATGTTGTCTTCTGGAATTTTATCGGTTACAGAAAATAATTATATGTGAAACTACTGCATATAAATTTCGCTTCATCGACAAGCTTTACTAGTTTATCTCTCCTCAGCATTGCTTCGAAGGTAAGTATTCAACATTTCTTCATTCCTTTCTTCTAATTCTGAATACTTAAGCAAACACAATGCAGTTTCTTGCGAAGTACTTTAAAGCTTATACATCAGAAATAATAGCAACTCTTTTGTTAGTTCAATAAAGGAAAGTTCAATATATCAGAAATAATAGAAGAGTTTTGCTGTTTCAGTTAAAAAAAATTCAGAAATTTACCTCTGATTAAATTGTATGAAACGGAAACAAATCTTCTAAGATAACTAAATTGGGAATTAAGTAAACAACAAAATCTGCATGACATACAAATAAGATCTGTCATCTTGCATGAAAAACACAGATAAAAATAGAAAAAGAGATAAACATAGGTAAAACTATCATTATCAAAAGAAGATTTTATTCTTTGATAACTATTTTAATTTTTATTATTTATGAATACCTTAAACTGTTCTGTAGAATCTTGAAAGGTTTCACAGCATTAAATTTAATGTAATTAGTTCTTATCGAATTTGTTTTTGTTAAAGTGCGTTCAATTTCAGTCATGTTTTTCCACCATCAAATATAAGAATTACATAATGATAATCACTTTATATTCAAAAATGTAGTAAAAACGTTTACAACTTTTACGTACCGATAGTAAATAACGTTGGCCATAATTCATCACAACGTATAAATAATATTATTTAGTACGGGGTTTCATACGCAGCGGAATATTCCTCCCTAGAGGGAAATTTCATGGTTTCAGGGGAAAATGATGTCAGCCCTTTATTAACTTGTGAAGTATTTAATTTCAGAATATGAATATAGAAATCTGTTTTTATTCAAGTTTGGGTAATTATCAATATTTTTTACTCTCTTTCATTTTTAATTTAAAAAATAAAATCTAATCTAAATTTAGTAAATATGTATGCGTTTTTCGAGTTTGGAAGGAAGCTATAGCGAATGACAGTCTAGCAATGGTGAAACGGCTGTATCGGGCAAGAAAGGTTGAGTGCCTCTGATTCAGTAGCTCAAAACCATAATTCTCTCTACTAATCAAATATAAGAATTAAAAGAAAATACTCGTGATTCTTTAAAGCATTTCACTTGAACAATTTTTATCTTAAGTGATAAATATATTGAATGTATATATTAAATAACCCCGTCTTCTTTCAGATGAATACGTTTTGGGTGTTAGTTGTTGTAAGCGCTCTTGCTGTTGTTTCATGTGACGATGGTGCTAAAGATCCGGAACTAGAAGGTAAGACAAGCGCTACATACATATCTAAAATAAAGTTTGATGACATGTAAATTTTTCAAAAATTACGATTTAGTCCGAGAATAATTCAAATTAAGTACATTTGTACAGTTTACATATCTGTCAGGAACACGGCATATTTTCCATATTCAAAACTTATGATTTTTTGTATTTCCAATTACAGCTTAAGTGAAAACACAAAATTTACTCCCGCTAAAGATCGCTCATTTCCTCCTTTGTTGTTTCACGAAATATTATACCTGTAGAATTTTGTTAAATGTACTGCAATATTTATTTTTGGCAAAGCAGACCTGGACGATCTGACTATGGGGCACATGTACAGACTTTCACATTTACTACATTACGATCGCTACATATTAGTATTTTATTTTTGAAATTTACTTCTGGTGAGAATTAGTATACCTTGATGTCTTCCGGCGCATATTACGGATATTTAATTTTCTGCATTTTTCAAACAAATTTTAATGCTCATCTTTAATTTCAAGAAGCGAGATCAGGTAAGCTTAATTTAGCGTAAATATTAAAACAAATACGTAAGCCTTAAAATTTGTTTGCCGATGTAAAATATGATATTCTTTACGAAGCTTTTAAAAATGTATAACGTGGGAAATTTGAGTAATTTACATTTATCAGACGAAATTTTTAAAAAATGTTAAGCAAACAAGAAATTTAATAAATATGCATTGTTAACTGATTCATTTAATTTGAAAATTGATTTGAATAATGTACAAAAATTAAGTACAACAGTGTACTGAAATACACATAATTTCTCAGTAAATCCACATGAACCTTATAATTTAATATAATTAATTCATACTTGTTCAGTGTCTAAGGGGTTCGTTCTCTGTCCAAGGGATAAGTGGATAAGCTCAAAATTAAACGCTTCATAATTCTTAATAATTGTGCTGTGAGTTTCATGTAGTTTATATAAGCATATTTACTGCATTATATTTATTGTCGCATCCTCAAAATTGGTCAATTAGGCTGAATTTTGCCAAAAATATCTTTGTTTTATAGCTTACTTACCTGTATACAATTATTCATTATGAAATTCACGAGGTGAAATATTATTTGCAGATTTTGGTCGCACAATCTCTGGTTCAATTTTTCATTCTCATCGGTTTTGCTTGAAAGGCCGTACATTTTTTCAAAGGAACGAATAAACTTCAGCTGCACGATTTCCATTGATATGCAGATAAAAGGAGAAATGAAGTTTAAGACATTAGAAGATGGAGTTACCGAGAAAATATCAAAGCAGATAGATCGCGCAAGAAATAAGCCGAATGAAGGAAAATTTAATAATAGATTTATTTCGAAATAGCAGAAAATGAAAGTGGGTAGATTGTTTAAAAAAAAAAACTCTAAAATAATACATTAAAGAGTTCATTTTGCAAAACCAGCGAGAAATGTTCATCTTAAGAAGATGTATCTAAAAGTTCCAAATTCGTGAGCATTGAAGCTAGGATAACGTTTACTTAGTAATTATGTTTGCTTCAGAGCTAGATCGCAATTCACAGATCAAACTACTCATGTCTTAAATTATTTAAAGGAAAATAAATAGTTTAGAATGAAAGTTTTAAAATGTAATTTGGGGGAAAGAAGGTTGAGATCCATTCCTCAGGTTGCTTCTTCAAAATTGTATCGAAACTGAGCAAAATCGGATGGTCATCTCTATGGTGCTAAGGCTCTTCCTAACGACAGATGCAGCCCCGTACTCCGTACCATGATAAAATTCGTGGAATTGTTCGGATTAGGTCAGACAACTGAGATTAGTCACAACAACACAATGTGCCATTTTAACTTTTTATGAAAAGAATCCTGACAGTGCGCTATCTTTAACAGCGATAAATAAATTAATTAGGTAATCAAAATTACAGTATAATTATAAAAATGTACTTGAAGTCTGAATTATCATATGTTGTTAATCTCACTTTTAAGCCTTCTATAACATGATTATCCACAAAATATTTAAACTAGCCAAACATGAAATTATCTAATGTCATACATTACTAAAATTTCAAGTAACATTTGCTTATATTTTTCTTAAAACATATTTGTTTATTTTTTTACAGCTGTGCAGAAGAAGTTACAAAAGTTAGATATGATAGAAAAGATGTTTGCTATAGTTTCTGCGCTCGGGAAGAAAACCGAACAAAGGTAAAAATTGTTGTTTGTCCAAAATGAAAATAATGGCACAGAATATTATCTAGGTTTCCTACCTTTCTTTAATAGTATTATAGAAAAGTCAGAATTTCTCTGAGAGTTTTTAATGCAGCATAGTAACGAAATGCAGTAGTGTTTCGTTTCCAGAAAAACTAGTGGAATTAAAATTCGATACCAAACGTAATCTGGCTTTTGAAAATTCATCTGATTCTCTGTTTAAGAAACACCACTTAAATAAAATTTATTTTTCCTCTATTTCAATAAATGGCCCACCAGCGGCCGAGCGGTAAAGTCGCTGAACACTGGTAGTTCGGTCCGAGGTTCGAATCCCGCGAAAGGGCTGGCTGCATAGGTGTTTTCGTGGTTTTTCCCATGTGTAACGTGTATACGAGCCAGTTTAGAAAGTCCTCCACGAAAGGCACCCCTCCCCTTAGGCAGATAGCCCTAGTGTGCTTTGCCATAATTAAATACACCAACACACCATTTAATTAAATACACGTATTTCAATAAATGTGCTTTGCATTTATAAAACAAAATTAATTATCTATGCATTTTGTAAAAATGTAGCGATAAGTTTCAGCAAATGGAGCTGTTTTCAGATCTTAGTAAACATGCCATGTGATATGAAAAATTAGTTATAAAAATTATACTTTTGTGAAATGCGCAGAGCTGTACATTTTTGTACAAATCGTAAAAGCCCTTAACTAATCAAGTGTAAATTACATTATGTTCGCAACATATGTCGATATACGAAATCGTATGAAGCCTATCAATTTTCTTACAATTTTTCACTTTTTGGTGACATTTCATGAATGGCACATTTGACGAAATAACATGTCTCATATACTTTCAGTTAGAGAGGTATTTCAGAACTGACGAGCTAAACCAGGGAAGATATCGACACGGCGTAGGATGCTAGAGATCCGAGCTCCCTGTGACCGAGTGTAGCTTGTTCTGTGTGTCTGCAGAGATACGTATACTTATTTTGAACACTTTGATACGTACTGTGAACGCGCTTTGATACATACTTTGAACAGGAATAACAATATACTACGCTTTTCTAAGTATCACCACAGTAGGAATCTCATTGTCATGCAACAAGAAGGTCTAGCTGTGGTATTGTTCCCAGAATATGGTGCGAAAAGTTTTAGCAAAACAAGATACAAAAGTTTTAAAATTATTTAAAGCAAACTTTAATAGGTTAAAAAAACATTGTTAAAAAAACAAGAAAGGCTATCAGTTAAGGTGGAATGCTTAAATGGATATAAATAAAGCGAAACCATCAATGTCATATAGCGAGTTCATTTGGCATCAATTGATCTCCGTTTGAACTTACTGTATTCAATCCTTTTTTCTCTATGCCTTTTACTCGTCATGGATATTTAAAAACCTCTTCTGTAAGAGGTACATAAGGTAAAAGAGCCAGTTTTATTCTTAATAACTTAAGTCCAGGATGCAACAGAAACAATCTACAATTTTATTATACGTCCTACAGTAACACTACATAGGTAACATATAGAACGAGAAAGATAATTGATAAATTACATAATGGTACTTTATGTTTTGTTTATTTTTTGAAATCTCATCTGTGAGATAGCTACCGTTATTTCCGATACACTGAGGGAATCGATGAATGAAACTGTCCAATACGTTGGCGATACCTGGTGGTCCCTAGTCTGAGATTCTAAAGCGTTGCATCAGTGAAAGTGTCAACGTCATTCTTCTGAAATGTTGATGAATGTAATGGATCGGTGCATCGCAAAACGCTGACTATCTTACAGATGTGGTTTTCAAATAATAAACAAAGCATAAAATAGCCATTATGTTATTTATCAGTTACCACGCTCGTCCTCTACTTTCCCTACGTAGTCTTACTGTAAGGACCTACAATAAAATGCTAGATTTTTTCTACCCGGGCAGCGAATATTAAATGCGAAATCCTTCCTTTGTTAACCTGACAGAGATATAAATTTTAAGTCGCGTTTTCACGCAAATTTGAACCATTTGAAGATTCGTATCAATGCAATATAAATAGCATTTTTACTTCCAAGAAAACTCATGCATAATTTTATATCATTCAGCAGGGACGACTGCCTTGGCTACGGTGAAGAATGTTACATGATTTCCGGACCGAACTGCTGTGGATTTTCAAATTGGTGCAATTACCGTGATGAATACATCCCAGGCGATGCTAACAACCCTCCAAGATATGTAAACAGATGTCGGGCTGGTAGTTTGACCGTATGGGCTGAAGAAACCTATAACAACACTATTGGCAGAAGGTAATTTGATGCCGCCGCTTAAGAATACTCGGAAGGGACATTTCGACAAACCATGAATTACAAAGAAGTTTCACTTTGCTTTCTATTTTTGTGATTAAACAGATTTAACTTCATGAGATCTCCTGTCTTTTATCATTTCCTCTTTTTAGCCTTCGTTGCTGTTTTGGCATGTATTTAACAAATACTATTATACCGGAAAGCTATTATGAAATGATAAAGCTTTATATTTTTCATTACAAAAATTAGAATTCTTAAGAAATAATTGTGATTAAAGAGGCTTTATTTTGATCTTCTCTATTTTATCATTTTTCCTACTTTTTATCATCAATGTGTACGTTGCTAGAAAATTTTCCCTTCAAAATTCTACTTTATTTTGGATGAAAACCATAATCTAAGAAGAAACAGAAGTAGAAATCTTGCAATTCTTGCATTATTGGATTTACGAAAATTATTTATCCGTCAGGCTTGATTCAGAGTTTATTTATTCTCCAGTGCTGATGAACGATCTACTTTTACAATAAATATTTAAGAAAAAGAGTCTTAAACATCACAGTTTAGCAATAAAGTGTTCTCCCGTTTGCTTTGATTAATCACTTAACTACTTTGGATCTCTCACAAAACTCAGACACTGTATTTTATAATATTGCTTTATTTTTTTTTTTTTTTATTTTTTATTTATTTATTTATTTTTTTTTTTGTCACTCAGTGTAAATAGTGCATATGCGAAATCTGGGAGTGAGTTTATGCAGTATAGCGGGTTGAAGAAAACAACATTCTTACGAATTAAGCTTTGATATACAATCCTTTTACCGCTGTACAACATTTGGTTACAAACAACGTTATACGAAATAGAATTGCTTAATTCTTTCGCAGAAGTCATCATTTAGAATACAAATGAGGGCTTTGGTTATAATTTTCGAAGTAACTTCAAAACAATGAAAAAAAATGGACTATTGAGGGAGATAATTTAAGTAATTAATTAATAATTAAAGGAAGAGAAACTAGTCTGTAGGTGCCAATGCTCGTGAGTAAGAAGAGTCTGATGACTGTAATATATTTGTTTCGCTGGAAAGTGTTTGACGAGTTTGTAAGTCTAGGCTATGCATCATTATGCAAGAAAAATTTTATTTAAAATAAATATTTCATGATTAACTCGTTGAATCCTATTCAGAAGACTGAAGATTACGTGTTTTTATAGTAAAGATATTAGCATACATCCCGCAGAACATTTATTCGTGCGGGAGACATGCTCGGGTAGTTTCACAGTATCTACTTCAGCATGTCTCTCTCACGAATAAATATTTTTCGAGTTTTCGAAAAAAATCCCTACTCGAAACTACAGATTATTATTTATTTGAAAATATTAGGATCAATGTGTACTATTTGGATTACACCATGACATACAGAAGCACAAGCTTTTCTGTTTTTAATGAGTGAAGAATAATTATGGATATATATTTCTGTTTTTAACATCTCAACGCAACTTTGCAGAAACTGACTTAATTCACTATTTTGCTAAGTTTCAAATGTAAACAACTATAGCTACTGGAGTTACAAAAATAGGATTAGCCTCACTTAAAGAGCTTTTAAACTTTTGATAATTCTACAACTATTGCATACTGATTAACTATAGGCATAAAAACCTTAACCGGAAGATAATGACAACATAATTCAATCATTTTTAAAGTAAAACATGCACAATTTACCAATATATAAGAATAAAAAACTGAGTTCACGGAGCCAAGTAACGGATTGGATATATATATGTATATTTATTTATTTATTCACTTTTAGTGCTGCCGTTTGCACCCAAAAAAGAGAGGTGCACAATTAAATGTTATAGCAGTTCTGCAAACAAAATTTCAACGTTCTGAGACTGCTCGTTTTTGAATTATGTGAGTACATACCTATATACAAACGTGACAAAAAATCTTTTCTGCATCCATTTTAAATCAATTTTATAATCCGGGTTGGAGAAGAACAGTCCTTTATTCTGTCCTTACGTACAGATGTCGCGCGAAAACATCCTTAAATTACATTCGATAGCAGCTAAAATAAATATTTTCGTTGAAATATGATACCCAAAGTTTTTCGTGATTACAATTCTTCCTTTACTTCGTACAAGGAAGCAAAACAAAAGTGAAAAGGATTGCGCAGCTAAAATGATGGTGATATTGTTTCCCAGGCTAATACCCTGTTAAGGTCATAAGTCGGGGAACAACTGCGGCTCCCGCCTCCTTAACTTTCCATAAGGAGAAAACAATCGTTTTTGTTTCAGTGATTGAAAGAAAGTGAAAATCCTCCTGCCTCTCGTCCAGCAACTTTTAAAACCTCGGCTTCTGAAAATTAAGGACTGCTTCTAAATTTATCAAATTAACTATAAATTAATATCTACTGATTGAAATCATTTTCTTGAACTCTCCCCAGACTAAAAGGAAGGGGTAATAACTTACATCCAAGTTTCTGGGAAAGTTCTAACCCCCTTTTAACAGTAACATACCCTGTTCTCATGCAAAACTTCAAAGAATGTTTTTAACCGTATTTCAGTCATAGCTGTGACAGTGGCAGAAATTAAAATATCAGAACATTTTTCCGCTTCAGACGAAGCCGTATTTCTCTCTACTCCCACGAGCGAAACACGTATAGTGTTCCGAGAGTTAAAAGAGGCGAACTCTGAAGCTGTCCGCCGACCTATGGCCGGTACTAGCCTGGGAAAGAAAATCACCCGCTTTTTTAGCCGTACACAGATTTTTGCCAGCTTTTTAAGAAATATACGGCATTCAATAGAAAATTGTGTTTGAATAATAACATATTAAAATTCATTAAAAATTTATATACAAATACCAAATTCACAACACCGTTGGCGAATTAAATTCTAGGATTCCTAGCTATGAAAGAGTTGGAAAACAACATATAATGTTATGTTAGACAAGTTAGGGCGGGAAGTTTCTGAGCTTAAAAGTTTCTGAGCTTCTGAGCTTAAAAGTATTAAAGCAGCGAAATCATTACCTGCAAATTCTCGTATTCTTACTGCGTACTCTTTTCTAGAAACTGATGTTGTTTTGTTGTTTTGAGAGTTAGTGGTAGGTTATATAATGCAAACTTAAAATTTTGCTAGAAGCATCCATGGTATAAGTAAAAATTACTATGGTATTAGTAAAACTATTACGGTATTAAAAGAGGGAAAAAATGGTAAAACACTGCGTAGGAAGGCTGTGTACGAATGTATTTCACGTTTCAAAGTCCAATCCATTGACACAAATAAACATTTAAGTAACTTTCTTCGAGATCGAGTAAATATCAAAAATTATGCGTTCAACTGTACAGTGTTTGATGTTTTCGATCCTTTCATTATCAGATACAAAGATCAGAAAAAACATTGTATAGCAAAATATGGGTTTATATTTTCATTTGTTTCGTAACTCGTGCAATGCATTTACAATAAGATGCAGATCTTACATCTGAGTCGTTTATTTCTACCTTAAAAGTATTCCTTTCTAGACGTTGTAAAAGTAACAACTTGTTCAGTGACAACGCTGAAACGTTCATTGGAGCTCACAATGAAATAAAGAGGCTTTACCGTGTTATTAAAAAGCCATATGAGATATTAACGGGATATCTAGGTACGGAAGGTATTGAATGGAATTTGGAATTTCATTCCTCCCCGATTCCTACTTTTGGAGGACTGTAGGAAACGAGGATGAAGGCCTTCAAGTACCATTTAAAGTGTTGTACGGGTAATGCAAAATTAACTTTAGAAGAGTTTTTCTAACAGTAACAAATCAGATTGAAGGAATACTCAACAGCAGTCCTATTTCTCCTCGTGAGCAGATGCAGATGATTGAAGGAATACTCAACAGCCCTATTTCTCCTCGTGAGCAGATGCAGATGATCTCGAAGGGATAACAGCTGCGCATTTTTTGGCAGGTCGTTCAATAACAGACACCCCAGACTTTTGCAGAATGTAACAGAATTGACTTAGCTCATTCGGAAAAAGAGGTCACATACTTACTTAAACTATTTACAACAAAGGATTAAGTAGACGTTCGTTAAGAAAAATGTGAAAATATGCATATTAATTACAATTAATACAGTTTGTAGCTGGTTATTGGGCAGAGTGGTAAATGATCTGCAAGGAGGTGACAACAAAATACGAGTACTAAACGCAAAGCCGAAACAAGGCATATTTGAGAGGTGTTTCAAAGATACGCATTTTGCTGTTTGATCATAATGTTGGAATATTTCAGCTATAATTTTCATCTTAACGTGAAGTTTTAACTGTGCTAGGATTTGCAGAACTAATTGACTTTCTTTACTTTTTATTGAACCTAGTAAGTTTAAAGTAGTAACATGTTGCGTCACAAGGAGTGATGTCAGGAGATTTTTTGTTATATGCGGTTACAAAGATGATTAAGGTATGTGACGGGCAAAGCTTACAGTGAAGGCAAAGGAGGAGAGAGAGGCAGCCAAAATGCACCTCTGTTTGGAACATTGAGTGAGCTGCATTTCTCTCTGTAGTAAGTAGTTATAACAAGAAATCTAGAGCTAGGGGAAAAGAGCTTGTGTAACCTAGAGTCTTGTAGCAAAAACAAAAAGACTGATGAAATGAAATGACATCAGGTTAGTTCATCTCAACCTGATGCAATTTCATTTTTTTCGAACCAGTACCTACAAAGAAAGGCCAAAGATCATTATTTCCCATTCAAAGAGAGAGGTGACAAATTTTCGTCAAAAATGATCCGATGTCTTCGACGTCCTCGTTATTCCCCTTCATCCCTGTTGTTCCGTGGTTCCATAGTCTAGGATGTTGTTTAAGGCTTCTGTCGTGACGTTGGCACTGTTGTGCGTATGGATACTATTTTTGAAGCAGGATTGGAATACTTTTGATTAGATTTAATCTGAAGGAAATTGGGGATCAATTTTTTATGCTTACACTTTTGTAAAAAGTCAAGGTGATTCAGAAATTTGTGTCTTTTCAGGCGTCCTTTTGTAAAACGATTAATGGATGAAGGCATGATAAAAGTGAAGAAAATCAAACTAACTCAAATAACCAATAAATAAATCATAAACGCTGGAGTAATTTCACACTAACGGTGGATGCAAAAAACATATTAGCAG